GCCCCTAGCGCGCTCTGCGCGCCAGGGAGGGGGCGCCGATCCAATAAGTCCTCGCGGGCCTCCGGAAGTTCATGCTCATGCATGTTTGTTCTTCGCATGGGGGGGGGATCCCGCGACCCCTTCCCTGGGGGCGATCTGTGACCCTGGGCCGTGGACTCAGAGCCCCGGGCGCCTGCGGACGGTCTCCATGGAGGCCGAGATTGCGCAGCAGCCAGGCTTTCGGGGGTGGACACATTTTCCAGGCTTGCGCCCGCCAGGTTTGGGCCCGAAGTCGTTTTCACTAAACCACGTTTTACTACAGGGGGGTCTGTCCATCCCCGAGGCTTTCTTTTTGTTTTTTTTCTTCTGCGGCACGCGGGTCGAGGCCTTTCCTGCCAGGGGGTCGGGGGTGCGTCGCTGTCCACGCAGGATTCCTGAGCGGCAGCGTGTCCACCTCGGGTCGGACGACAGGAGGTGGGACTGGCAGCCGGGGGGACGTGCGAGTCTGCGGGGCCGCCTGCGAACCCTACAGTCGGGGCCCTGAAGAAGGAGCCCTTTTCGTTGGGGAGGGCTCGGCGTTCCTTGATTGTTCTGCAGTTTGCCCTCTGTTTTCCTGAGGGTTTCCATGGGAAGTCGAAGTTCAACTTATGGGAGAGAGGGGCCCCATTCCTTATTTAGGGTTCCTTAGGTCAACGCCCCGACTGTACCCCTAAGGGTCCAATCGACGCTGGGGCATCGAAACACCCCCGACGGGGTTGACCTGGCTGCAGACATCCTTCAGATTCTGAACCCTGCCCCTGCGGGGCCCGGGGTATCGAACACCCCCTATGGGGTGCACCTGGCGACAGACATCCTTCAAATTCTGAGCCCCAGCGGATTTTTCAGAGCTCTGCCCTGCAGGGGTAGCGTCCCCATGCCGTTGCCTACCACGGAATCTGCGGCGTGCAGCCTGGTTTCGGCCCCGCCGCCCGGGGGCGCTCGCCTCGCATGCGTGGGCGCCGGGAGGACCAGCTGTGCGCAGCTGATTCGTTGGGGGCGCCAGACATGAGTACAGAACAAACGAGCGACGCAACAACATGGGGTCGTCTGCGCCGACATTGGCGCGGAAGCTGCCCGCGCAAGTTCGCACATAAGGGCCCTCGTCTCCAAGGTAGTGCGCCGCGCTGGCGGCCCGCGTAAGCCGCCGCGTGAGGTCTCTGTGCCATCTCGCGTAGGACCCCTTTCTGAGTGGATACGACGCCTAGCAGCACATGCTGTCCGAAACCGGCAGCAGCCGCTGCTGGGCAGGCGACTCGTGGCCTCAAGCGGGCAACGCCTGCGGCGACGGGGACAGGGAGTCCCGTTCAAGTCGGGCAGTGGCTGGTGTCGGTCTCAGTCCCTACTCTTTCCGCACCCACCCATTTCGATCACACCGGATCGGCTTCCCCCCTTTCTCCCATCCCCCTCTTTCGTCCGACCCGGCCATCCTGATCGGCCACCCGTTCGACACCGTGAAGGTGCGGCAGCAGGCGGGGCACGTCGAGTACCGCGGCGCCCTGGACTGCGTTCGCAGGACGGTCGGCGAGGAGGGTGCCCGGGGACGCAATCGGGCACACCGGCAAAGACATGTCGGTTCATTGTTCCAGGCCGCCCAGGGGCTAGAGCAGAGGGGGACTGATCCGAAGACGAAGAAGAAGACGAATAAGAAGAAGATGGATACTAAGAAAAAACATGCTAATACTATTAATAGTACGAATAATAGTAATAGCAGTCATACTATTAGTATTATTACATTCATAATTGCACACACAGACATTTGCATGTATACATACACATACAATCTAAACACATACGCCCAAAACGCCCCTGGACGGCCCAAGACGACCGCAAGGAGCCCCCAGAACGCGAAAGGACGGCCCAAGACGCTCCCAAGCAGCCCAAGACAGACTTCCGACGGCTCTCCAGGCGGGATAAGACCGATTACTCAGAGCGTAAATTACCTACCCCGCTTTCGCTTCCAGGCAACACCAAATCATACCACGCGCCTCCTAGTCAAGCGGCCTGACCAGCGCAGACCGTAGTTTGGCGTCGCTTGGTATCTCTTGGAAGCGAGGGTGGTCAAGAGCGAGGTAGGTTTGCTTGCGCCCTACTTACAGCCACCTCGGGCTGTTCAGGAACTACTTCGGTCGGATTGCAACCACTGGAAACGGACTGATCGCAACCTAAAGGATTCCTATACAAACTTTTCTGAAAAACACCAGATTGCAACCGATCCAAGAGCTTCTGCTGGACTTCTGCAGAGCTCTCTGAGAGGCCTCTGAGAGGGCCTCTGAGAGGCCTCCCAGAAGCCTCAGCGAGGCCTTTCAGAGGCTTCTCTGAAGCCTTTTTCAGAAGCTTCTCTGAAGCCTTTTCAGAGGTTCTCTGAAGCCTTTTAGAGGCTTCCCTGACGCCTTTCAGGAGCTTCTCTGAACTATCTTCAGAGGCTTCTCTGAAGCCTTTCAGAGGCTTCTCTTAAGCCTTTCAGAGGCTTCTCTGACGCCTTTCAGAGGCTTCTCTGAGGCTCTTTCAGAGGCTTCTCTGAAGCCTTTTCAGAGGCTTCTCTGAAGCTTTTCAGAGGCTTCTCTGAACCAGGAGGCTTCCAAGAGGCCCCAAGAGAGCTGCGAGAGGCGTCCCGTGAGGAGCGCCAGAACAGGCCAACATCGTTGATTTTCATTGGTTTTTGTTTAAAGAGATTTTAGCCCTCTCGCGTTTTTGAGCTTCAACGCTCCAAGACGGCCGAGACGGCCTCCAAGACCGCCCCAAGACCGCCCAAGAGCTCCCAAGACGGCTCCAAGACGGACCAAGAAGGCCCCAAGAAGGCCACAGAGCGCCCCGAGGCAGCCCAAGAGAGCCCCAAGATGGCCCGAAACACCGCTTAACAGCCGGAACGCAAGTCGACAATCTCGGCTTTCCGGTCCAAGAGGCCCCCCAGGAGGCCCCACGAGTCCCCCAGCTGTCTCAAGAGGCCCCCGAGATCCCAGAAGAGGCCCATAAGTGGCCCCAAGAGGCCCGCAAACAGCCCCCCAGCGGCTTCCAAACTGCCTCCCAAGAGCCCCCTGCACGCCTCTTAGCACCCCCCGATTCCTGCGCACTACACGTTAGGAGGCCCCACTTGAAAACAACAGAGAAAATCAGCGATTCTCTTTTTGTTGAAGTTCGGGGTCACATTGTACAGATTTTTCGGGAATGCAGTTGAACTCTCGGACGCTGTCTTGGCACTCGTTTGGGTCTTCTTCGTGTCCTTGGCTGCCCCTGAAACCACTAAAAATCGAGATCCCATGAGTTCACCTGTTCAGCCTAGCTAGAACGTCAGAACGCGTGCGCTAAGAACGAGATAAAAGAGGGGACCTCCCCAAGCCTTACAAGCGCTTTGCCCCAAGGTGGCCCCACGGTCCCTCCAGAGGTCCTCGAGGCGCCCCCCAGATGCTTGCGGAGACTCCCGTGATGCTCTCAGGAGACACCAAGAGCCCCCCAAGAGGCCCCGAAAGACCTCCAAGACGCCGCCAAAAGGCCCGCAGAGGCGTCCCAACAGTCCACGTACTGTATATGGCAATTTGAGAATCAAAGGAATTCACAGTTTTTTGTTTCCAATTTACCCCTGCTTATTACTGCACAGCAAACAATAGTTCAGGCCCCCGTCATCACGGAAGAAAGATCCCAGGAAATCGTCGAGGGCCCCAAATCATCGAACACCTAGAACGGATCTGGATGATTTGGTGGTTTCCGTATTTACCCTTCTGTGCGCTTCTGAGGTTTGTATAGGAATTCCAAGAGGGTCGTTCGATGCATAATGCACTTCAACAATTGAGATTATATGCGTTAGCCTGTCGAGCCTAGCTAGAACGTGAACGCGCGCGAAGCGCTAGTACACATAGATATCACACATGGATGTCAGCTCGGATTCCTTGGGCGTTGGGACCCCCTCCGTGGCGCCTCCGCCGCCACCCCTGGCTCACTCCGCGCGCCAGAGTGGGCGGGCCCAGCGTCTAAGAAATCCGCGCGGACCTCAACAAGTGTCCGCTTATGCTGTTTTCCTGCTTCTATTGATCGGGTGACCGTGGCCCGATGTGGCCCCAGTTGCTCCAGGCAGGCCAATATGGCCTCCAGAGCCCCCCTTGCGAGATCCAGAGTGTCCCATGGCGCTCCGAGTTGTCGCGTACAACTGGGGGCAGGACCACCTCTAGCAACCTCCGCTCCCAGGACCTCGCCGCAGCGCCGATGCATCGGCGATGCGGCGCGATCGGGAGCCCGGTGTTCTCCATCCCGACGTCGTCGATGCATCGCCGTCGCGTCGGCGATTCGGTGCTGTCGTCCTACCCCTGTTCAAGGCTTCCTGGTATGCAGGGAGAGCCGACCACAAGCGTGCGAGCGTTACTGCTGCGTCTCCTCTGCCGAGAGTCCTTCCGCAGCCGCTCAGGCGCCCGGGCGCTGTTCCGAGGCATGTGGTCCCCCTTGCTGACCAACTCGGCCCTCAACGCGCTCACCTTTAGCACCTGGCAGGAGACGCAGCGGCTGCTGCACTTCAAGGAGGGCAGCGCCGCGCCACTGGAGAAGGCCCTGTGTCCGAGAACCCACTCAGCATTCGGCGAGCGGGCTCACGTGGAACCAGGAGGAGGGAGGAAGGAGGAGGAGGAGGAGGAGGAGGAGGAGGAGGAGGAGGAGGAGGAGGATTAGCGCGTGGTGGAGGGGGCGTTCGCCAGGTGACTACTAGCCGCCCGCGGCCAGGGATCCCGCAGTGGGGATGGGCCGTAGGACTCGGCGGAGCTCCAAACGCCGAGCCACTCCCTTCTGTCAGGGCTGCCGTGCATGATTTTCAGGGAAGCACCACCCTTTTGGGAAGCTCTCAACCTGATTTACTGTCTTCTACGGTCTGTCTTTACAAGCTTTGAACGACTGGGCAACACATACTAAGCACAGTGCCACTTAGAAACAAGACACCTGCACGGGTGCACACCGCAATAGTGCACAAGACAAGAAATTCAAAGCAACACAGATGCAGACCA